TGGAAATTCTTATTTTTAATTCCAGGACAACTAAATTATTGTAAGCTCTGCTTTGAAGTTGAATGTGCCAAAAATGAGTAACACGAGTGACTAATTTTCAAAAGATTACTTCTTTTCCGATACGAGCTGTTTTATACTGCTGTGAACAAGAGAGAAAATCCATGCTTTAGCTGAAAAATATAATGCTAAAATATTGTCATACTTTTAATAAGCATGGATGTGCCAGATCCTCAAAACAATAGTCCAAAACAATTATCCACTCTTATTCACAAGGCCTGTCTTGCCCAAGATACCATTGAGGCCTTCCTGTAACTGTGGGCATGGCATTCATACATTTTCATTCAAGGCGTCCACAGATTTCCATAACACTGTATGAACTATGTATGTGTGTGTGTGTGTGTGTGTGTATTTATATATATATATACACACACACACGAAGTACAGTGTTACGGAAATTTTAAAAGACAGAAATATGGGCCAGAATCCAATCAAGTAATTCCACTTTGGTAGCTACTTTGAATAGTGGGAACTCTTCTATGTACAATATCACTCTTTCAAAACTGATTTTGGAACAAATGGCTGAATCCTGTTTTGGGACTGCGTGGAGATCTTCGGAGGAAAAGGAGAATGGAAGGAAGTTGCATCCCATTAGCAGGCATCTCGCAGCATGATCTTGGATGTAGATCATGATCGGTTAGGATTTCATAAAGCTAGAGCAGTGTTTCTCAAACTCTGCTCCTCCAGGTGTTTTGGACTTCAGCTCTCAGAAATCCTAGTCAGCTTACCTGCTCTTAAGAATTGTGGGAGCTGAAGTCCAAACGACCTGGAGGAGCAGAGTTTGAGAAACACTGCACTAGAGCATCTATCCATTTTAAATCCAGTTGCTACCTTCTGTAAAATTCTCTAGTCCAAGGAGGGGCCTTGAAACCATTCAGCCAGAGAGGTCCTGGGCCTCACCAAACCAGAAACCCCAGAACTCTGCAAGAGGCAGAAACCAGATTTAAAGTGGATAAATGCATTTGTGTGATGAGTAGATGCACATCGTTTTCAGGATATAATGGGTAATAATCAGGGGGGAAATACAGTGACAAGCCAATACATGAGCTCATAATTGGCAAACCTATCTTTAAAGTACCAAAAACACAAACATGACAGAAAACAAAGAAAACATAATTCACCACTCCTGGTAAACTTGGATAGAAATTTAAGTAAAGGTAACACAGAATGAAATGAACAGAAATCTATTTGTCTTTCTGCAAATAGCACCACAACAATTGGCTACTTGGTACATGCAGTCTATGCGAGAGTTGACCATTTGCATCACAAACAAAAAGCTTGGGAATTATTTCAGCACAGCTTTGCACATAAGAACAAGCTTAAGAACCACATCAAGATATAGGAAGGTTATGGAGAATCCAGTTTTGGAGAAGTGTAGTTTAGCTACGATTCTTTTAATATAATATCTATGAGTGAAACCTCCATTGAAGCAAATATTTTAGGGAGAACTTCCTGGTGGAAAGAGCTGTGAAACTCTGTTGTGGAGTTTGTTGGAGTTGCTTTCATTGAAGGTTTTTGAAACAGAGGCTGGATTGTATATTTCTGCATGGCAGGGGGTTGGACCAGATTGCCTTGGGGTCTATTCCAACTTTATGGTTCTTGGCATAGGCCAAGAAAATCCCCTTTATAGGTTTGTCTTAGGGTCGCTATAAATCATATGACTTGATGGCACTCAGCAACAATATATGAAAAATCCAGGCACAGGCTCCAACATGCATCTGAATAAGTTAGTCATGTTAATTAACTATTAATATACACAGAGAAGCTTCAGTCCTAATACTTAAAGAGAAACAGAAAGAAAGTGTAAGAGTTCTATCTACAAAGAAATTAAACTAGAAAGTTTATTTGTTGTGATAATGAGTACCATTTCTTGAACCACTTATTTCTATAGAGGTAATTTAATCATAAATTAAAGATTGGGATCTATTAATAAGGTATTGGAAAGCTTATGATGGTGTTCGTGATTAAATTTTTCCTTTGATATAAATGCCTTTCTTGCTTCTTTTTGAAAATGTTTGTAAGTAAAACAAGGGTTTAGAGGGATAAGAGAAATAATTTAAATATTATTATTCCTGCTGTTGATAATAATTGTATACATATGTGGACTTAATTAGTATGAAATGTACTCTTATCTTACATGTGTTAGATGTGTATAGATCTGTACTATCTGTTTTACATATGTTGTGGTTTATTTATAAATCCTGAATTGTTGAATAGTGCGCATCACACAATATTTTATATGAATTTGGAAGTAATGTGTGCATAGGTTTGGAACAGATTTCTATATATTAGAACAAATTATGAAGGAGTCAGTGGCATAGGATGTCATGCTTTATTGGCTTCCATTTTATTTCCAGTTGTAATCCAAAACCCTAAATATGACCACAAAGATATACGTAGTTACGATTTGGGATCAGATTATCATTGAGTGCATCCACACATAAGATTATTGGGAAAGGCTTTTCTGCTTGAAGAATATTATTTGGCAGTACTCAAGACACAACTTTCTAAAAAATCGTCTTCTGCATTTTGAAACTTGTTGACAACAAAAACTAGGCTTCTTTGACAGGAAACAGGCATCTGACCATACAGTCTTCTTGTTAGTTGAATAATTGTTTTTATTCGTTGTACATTGGCACAGGTACCAATATGGAAACTCACCAGGAGAAATGTGTACAAAAATAGGTGTAAATTGAAATATGCATATGGGTTTTCATATGAATGTTTTTGGTTTTACACACACAAACTGATACTGCAACATAATGGAATAAACATATTTTCTACAAGACTTTATAAATTAAAACAGGTTGCACTCAATTGCTACAGTGTTGTTCATGGATTCTTATATAGGTTTATTCAATTGCTAAGAATGGCAGTAGCATGGTATTGCTGTGTCTTCAACTTTATTAAGAGGAAAGACTTTCCCATGTTCTGGCTTGCTGGGAGGCCTTCTACAGGTACACAAATATATGTACATATTTTCCAAGTACGGTAAGTTAAATGGTGCATGGCTGTAGGATATGGCTACTCATGCTTAATACTACCTAAACCTGGCTCCTTCTCTTTGAAAGCTATCTCAAGTCAGAGTAGATGAAAATGGAACCCATTAACAAATACTCTGAACTAGTATGGGGTTGCTTCCTCTATTCCTGGCTTCTCTTCTGTCCTCTTTAGAAAACCAAGAAAACCTCTCTCTCGAACTTCTTTCTCGAGGCTCTGTTTTATTCTCATTCTTTTTTTTTTGTTAGAACATTAAATTTTACCAGTTTTTATTTTTCTATTACAACTTTTTTTGTTTTTATTGTGAGCCTGAAAATACAGACCTATTCATTTCATTTCTACACATAACCAAATATAGTTTAGAAACTTGTTATATGCCTATGAAACACGGACCATCTACAGACATCACATGCAACTTCTGGAATGATTCTATCAGCATTGCCGCCAAAAAAATCTGTCATTTAGGCCCAAACAAGTAAGAACACTTTGGGGATGGATCATGGATATTCTTTCTGAAACAGCCCACCTTCACTTTTTTCAGCATAAATGTATACCTCATAAGAAAAACTTTGGGCTCATTCATTCCACTGCAAGCATAAGACCATTAAAACTAAAGATGTGGGCAGAGTCCTTAACTGCAAGGCACTTTTAATCTATTGGTTCATGTCTGCAGCTACTCCAACTATAACCTTTTTTTACCCATTCTGCACACATCCTCTGTCTAAGAAAGGGGCTGTCCCTTCACAAGAAATGGAGATATCCTGGATCCCAAGAGCACTTATTCTTTTACTGCTATGAAATTGTTTTGGTCCCCATATTGGCTAAGGCTGGAGTGACCTCTGTATAGGATGGATTACAAATAAGATTCCCCCAACTAAACTACATCAAAAATTACATCTGTAGGCCAGTGACCTTAGTGCCATATTTTCTATGAATTTTAAATAACATATTTTGACCGATGAAGAAGCCAGTGGTGCTTCCAAAGCTGTATACAGGCAGTACCTAAGTTACAAACATCTGACTTACAAATGAGTCATAGCTAAGAACAGGGGTGACACAACAGGAAATGAGAGAAAACTACCTTTCAGAAGGAAAATTCACTCTTGAAAGATTTGTCATAGAAGAAAGGTGTCTCAACTTTATCACTAATCCTTGTTTCCACAACAAGCCTAATTTTTCAAAATCCAATTATCACAGGACAGAAAGTGAGGGCCTGCCTGAACTTTAAAAATTGATAGATAGATACAAGTAGATACATCTTATTAAAATTGTACAAAGTTAATAAACATTTCTGTGATGTATTACGAAAAAACATATTTATTTTTATCCATGCCATCAGCACATTTATGTAAAAGATAAAAAACGTCAATCTAATTGAGGTTCCAGAGTCCTTCTGTGCAACAACTATGAAGGGCAGAAAGTCTTAAGTGGGTCAGGAACAACCAAGTACACACCAAATAGTGTAATATTAGTTTTTGTGTGAGAGCTTTATAGGTATGTATAAATAAAATCTGTTTGTGTAGAACTTAGCATCTCTCATTAATGCAACTACATTTCAGTATAACACGATTAAAATAATCATAGCACAAGCAAGATAGTTATCTCTCATTGCTCTTTTTTATTCTGAAAGTTTCTGAGATAATTCTTTTTTCCTCCCTTCTTTTTGATAAGAATTTTCACCAACAAAATCGCACTCTGCTTCCTGTCCTCCCCCTTTTATTCTGACTCAAATTGCATGCCTCCAAAATGTGTACGTATTAAATTTGAACAATATTAGACTTTAGATAATGGATGTTCCTTTAATGCTCTGCCTACGAAATAGCATTTTTTTTCTTGTTGACACTCCATAAGCACTCTAATGTTATGTAATTGCAGTTGGCATAAATTGCACGTATTTCATGTGTATATTTCATGTGTATAAATGTATTCCAGCATAAGTTTACCTGAAGCAGTAAGCCAGATGTTGGTCTCATTCTCTGTTGAAACAGTACACTTAATGTTCGATTCTGCTGTTCCAGGTCAAAAACTCTTGTTTTCAGCTTCAAGCATTCCTCCCTCAAATCCTACATGAGGAAAAATTAATAATATTAACAAATCTGAAATGAAATGTTACATGAACTTTGCAAAACACTCTATAGAACATCTAGCTACTGAAAATAAGACTGAAAATTCATTTCAACCAAAAGGATTAGGTAAAAGGTGGTGTTTTAAATAGGAGGGACACTGATTTAGACTACTTTATTTAGTGCTGATCGTCTCAACTGTATTTATTTATTTATTTATTTGCTTCACTTGTATACCGCTCTTCTCAGCCATCAGGCGACTCAGAGCGGTTAACAACCAGTATCAACAATGCAATACAAAATCATTAATCATTTAAAAACAGTAATATCCATTAATTAACATCAGAACATCAATACAACAATACAGAAAAACAACAATCCATCACGTCTCATCAATAGAATCAGCATCCAATCTCGTTGTCCATTAATCCATATTCCAGTAATCAATCAATTGTACTACTTAGTTGAATGCTTGATCAAAGAGCCAGGTCTTCACTCTCTTCCTGAATGCCAATAAGGAGGGGGCCGATCTAATGTCTGTGGGAAGGGCGTTCCACAGCCGGGGGGCCACTACTGAGAAGGCCCTGTCTCTCGTCCCCGCCAGGCGTGCTTGAGAAGCCGGCGGGACCAAGAGCAGGGCCTCCCCAGACGATCTTAATGTCCTAACTGGTTCATAGGAGGAGATGCGTTCGGACAGATAGGTCGGGCCAGAACCGTTTAGGGCTTTAAAGGCTAAAGCCAGCACTTTGAATTGTGCCCGGTAGCAAACTGGCAGCCAGTGGAGCTGGCGCAACAGAGGAGTTGTATGCTCCCTGAGTGCCGCTCCTGTTAGCAACCTGGCTGCCGAGCGTTGGACCATTTGAAGCTTCCGAGCAGTCTTCAAAGGCAACCCCACGTAGAGAGCGTTGCAGTAGTCTAAACAGGATGTAACCAGAGCATGGACTACCGTGGCCAAGTCAGACTTCCCAAGGTACGGGCGCAGCTGGCGCACAAGTTTTAATTGTGCGAATGCTCCCCTGGTCACCGCTGAAACCTGGGGTTCCAGGCTCAGCGATGAGTCCAAGATCACACCCAGACTGCGAACCTGCATCTTCAGGGGGAGTGTAACCCCGTCCAACACAGGCTGTAACCCTATACCCTGTTCGGCCTACTGACCAGGAGTACCTCTGTCTTGTCTGGATTCAATTTCAATTTGTTCGCCCTCATCCAGACCGTTACAGAGGCCAAGCACCAGTTCAGGACCTGAACAGCCTCCTTAGTAGCAGGTGGAAAGGAGTGACAGAGTTGGACATCATCCGCGTACAGATGACATCGTACCCCGAAACTCCGGATGATCTCTCCCAGCGGCTTCATGTAGATGTTGAACAACATGGGAGACAGTATTGAGCCCTGAGGAACCCCACAAGACAATGGTTGTGGGGTAGAACAGGTGTCTCCCAATAACACCTTCTGAGAGCGACCCTCTAGGAAGGACCGGAGCCACCGCAAAACAATGCCTCCAAGGCCCATTTCTGCGAGGCGTCCCAGAAGGATACCGTGGTCGACGGTATCGAAGGCCGCTGAGAGGTCCAGCAGAACCACACTCCCCCTGTCTAGTTCCCGACGAAGATCACCAGCAGAACCAACAGGGACACACTCCCCCTGTCTAGTTCCCGGCAAAGATCATCTACTAAGGCGACCAAGACTGTTTCAGTTCCATGTCCTGGCCTAAAGCCAGACTGTGCCGAATCCAGATAATCCGTGTCATCCAAGAATACATGGAGTTGTGAAGCCACCACACGTTCCAGGACTTTGCCCAAGAAGGGAAGATTGGAAACAGGCCGATAGTTGTCGAATTGAGTGGGGTCCAGTGATGGTTTTTTCAACAGCGGTTTTATTATAGCTTGTTTTAAGCTCGCTGGAATATTGCCTTCCCGAAGGGAGGCATTAACCACCACCGTTACCCACTCGGCCAATCCCCCTCTGGCTTCCTTCAAAAGCCAGGATGGGCAGGGGTCTAGGATGCATGTGGTAGGCCTCATTCCTCCAAGTATCTTGTCCACATCCTCGGGTTTCACCAATTGAAATGAATCCATCAAAACTGGGCAAGCAGATGCTCCAGCTACATCCTCAGAGACTGCCGTTAATATGGTATCCAGGCCAGAGCGGATCAAAGTGATTTTGTCTGCGAAGAACCGAGCAAAGGCTTCACAGCAAGCTGCTGAGTTGCCAGGGCACCCATCCCGAATGGTGGGTTTTAACAGGCCTCTGACAACTCGCAAACAGTTCAGCCGGACGGTTCTTCGCAGACGCAATAGTGGCCGCAAAGAAAGATTTCTTTGCGGCCTTTATTGCCGCGGCATATGCCCTTAAAAAGGACACAAACCGTGTTCGATGGGCTCGCTCGGATCCGAACGCCACACGCTCTCTAGTTCCCTCTTCCTTCGCTTCATCGCTGCCAACTCCTCGTTGAACCAAGGAGCTGGTTTAGCTCGGCTACTTGAGAGGGGACGTTCTGGAGCAATCGTGTCTATTGCCCTAGTCATCTCCCCATTCCAGAGAGTGACCAGGGCATCAACAGGATCACCTACCGAGGTGGCGGGAAACTCCCCAAGAGCCGTCAGGAATCCATCCGGATCCATAAGCCTCTTGGGGCGGACCAACTTAATGGGTCCCCCACCCCTGCGGAGGTTAGATGGTGCAGTGAGTCTAAATCTGACCAGGTAGTGGTCGGTCCATGGCAACGGAGAGATGGATAACTCCTCAACACCGCCACCTTGCTCCCATCCCTGGCAGAAAACCAAGTCCAATGTGTGTCCAGCACTGTGAGTGGGGCCAGATACCCGTTGGGACAGCCCCATGGTTGCCATGGAAGACATGAAGTCCTGAGCCGCTCCTACTAGGGTAGTCTCAGCGTGTACATTGAAGTCCCCCAGCACAAGAAGCCGTTGGGACTCCAATGCCAAGCTCGAGACCACCCCTGCTAGCTCAGGTAGGGAGACCGTGGTGCAGCGGGGTGGGCGGTACACCAACAGAATCCCTATTCTGTCCCGGTCACCCACTCTCAGATGGACACATTCAAAATTGGTTGACTGCGGGATGGGGCCCCTGGTCAGAAGAATGGAATCTCTATAGACCACTGCAACCCCGCCTCCCCGCCCTCCGGATCTTGGCTGGTGCTGCACAGAGAAACCTGGCGGGCAAAGCTGGGTCAAATTCACACCTCCAGCTTCGTCCAGCCAGGTCTCCGTGATGCACGCCAGATCTGCCCGTTCATCCAGGATCCAAGTCTTGGATGAAAGTTGTTTTTCCGTTGACAGATCTGGCGTTCAACAGCACCACCTTCAATCCAGAGGGACCGTCATCCTGGGTACACCGACTTGCCACGTCAGGAGACCGATTTATGGTTACTAAATTACCAGAGTCCCTAGGCCAAATTAATGGCCTCCCTTTCCTGCATCTCCCCCTCCCCATTATGGTTTCTATAGGGGCCTGTATATATTTCTATAGGGGCCTGTATAATCTAAGATTCATATATTTAGAAGAAACTTCATGTGGATTCAGTTAAACTTACTCCCATGCATAGGTGCATAATATTGCAGTTAAAATAATTTGATTATGATTATTTGAGTATGACTATATATGTATCTAAGATTTTACAAACCACATGTCTACATATAAACCAACACGGATTCTGTGGTCAGTGGAGGAGGCCTTCCTCTTGGTCCCATCCCTGTTTCAAGCATGGCTGATGGGGACGAAAGGGGCCTTCCTCATGATCGCCCCCCACCTCTGGAACTCCCTCCCTAAAGAAGTAAAAATGCCCCCCCTCCTCTTTAGAAAACATTTAAAGACCCATTTCTGCACTTTAGCATATGGAGAGGAGGAGGATTAGAACAACTCAATATATCCTCGCTCGGACACTGGACATGTACTTTGGTGCTGTTTGGCTGTCGTATATCATAATCACATTATTTTATATCACTTTTCTTATCATTTTATACTTTTATATTTATTTAGAACCTTTTGATGTAAATGTGTATGATGATATTTATGTGTTAACTATTTTTTTGGTTGTCATATGTTTTTAAATTTATATTGACGTTACTTATTTGTTGTTTTGATTTGTTTTGTTGCTCATTTTGGCATTGAACATTTGTCTTTTTTTCTGGACACCGCCCCTGAATCCCCCCCCCCCCCCCCCCCCCGGGAGATAGTAGTAGTAGCAGTAGTACTATATGCACAAGTTTAAAAATATTTCACTCTCATGCATAGATACATTATACTGCTGTTAAAATAATTTGATTATGACTATATACACAAGCATAAAAATAAATCAATAATAATTTCTAAACAACTAGGATATCATTCGACAAGAAAAAAGTATAAGCAATAGCACTTTAGAAGTACTCTAAAGTTGACGAAAAATGAACTATTCCAGCCCATATGTCATCATGATCTCAAGCAAAAAGAAAATAACCAATGTCAGATGAAAGAAGATGGAAACTATGCACAACAGGGATAGCTGTATTTGAGAAAGGTATATTACCATCATCTCCACAACCTTTTCATTATAAATCAACTAGCACTGACAGAATATACATCCCTGGCCATTGATCTGTCCCTCTGCAACTTCAAATTTGCAGTCGGGTTTGTTGGTGCGACTGATGAAGCTTGGGGGAAAAAAGTAGAGTACACAAATATTATATTTCATGCAACATCTGGCTGGATAGATACGGAAAAATTATTCAGTACACAAATATTTTTGTGACAGATGAGCAAGATACTGAATTTGTTTTCGTGGATAGGTGTCATCTTTCTCTCTCTCCTGCAGTCTTGTGTGATTTTATGCATATGTTGATATAGATTCACTATGTTACATTAAGAGGATTGTTCTAAACCAGAACCGGAGAATTTCTAGTTTTGTGGAAGCCACTCTAATCTTCAGATTAAAAGAGATAACTGCAGAAGAGATAACAATTCAACCTTTCAATGGATGGTTGGGTACTGTAATATGCACG